GTGGTATGTCTGTTATCTGATGTGGTATGTGAGATGTCTGATGTCCAATGTCTGATGAGGTATATCAGACGTCTGATGACAGATGTCTGAAGTAGTATATCAGATGTCTGATATCTGATGTGGTATGTCAGACGTCTGATGTCTCACGTGGTATATCAGATGTCTGCTGTCTACTGTGGTATTTTGGATGTTTGATGTCTGAAGTAGTATATCAGATGTCTGATATCTAATGTGATATGTCAGATGTCTGGTGTCTAATGTGGTATATCAGACATCTGATGTCAGATGTATTTTATCAGACATCTGGTGTCTAATATGGTATATCAGAGTCTCATGTCAGATGTCGTATGTCAGAGGTCTGATGTCTAATGTGGTATATCAGACGTCTGATGTCTGATGTGGTATATCAGACGTCTGATGTCAGATGTAGTTTATTAGACGTCTGATGTCAGATGTAGTATCTCAGACGTCTGATGTCTAATGTGGTATGCCAGACGTCTGATGTGGTATATCAGACGTCTGATGTCAGATGTAGTATGTCAGACATCTGATGTGTGACAAACGCAGAACAACGTATGCCATACCACATTAGACATCAGACGTCTGATAAACTACATCTGACATCAGACGTCTGATATACCACATCAGACATATGACATACCACATTAGATATCCGATGTGTTATATACCACATCAGACATCAGACCTCTGATATACCACATTAGACATCACATGTCTGAAATACATCTGACAGCAGACATCTGATATACCCCATTAGACATCAGACGTCTAATAAACTACATCTGACATCAGATGTCTGATATACCACATTAGACATTAGACAAATGTCTGATGTCTGATGTCTGATGTGGTATATCAGATGTCTGGTGTCTAATGTGGTATGTCAGACGTCTGATGTCTGATGTGGTATATCAGATGTCTGATCTCACATGTGGTATGTCAGGCGTCCAATATCTGATGTGGTATATCAGTCGTGTGATGTCAGATGTGGTATGTCAGACGTCTGATGTCTAATGTGATATATCTGACATTAGACATCAGACGTCTGATAAACTACATCTGCCATCAGTCTTCTGATATACCACATTAGAGATTAGACAGATGTCTGATGTCTAATGTAGTATATCAGACGTCTGATGTCACATGTGGTATAATCAGACGCCTGATGTCAGATGTGGTATGTCACATGTCTGATGTCTAATATGGTATGTCAGACGTCTGATGTCTGATGCGGTATATTAGATGTCTGATGTCAGATGTAGTTTATCAGACTTCTGATGTCTAATGTGTTATGTCAGAAGTCTGATGTCAGAATCTGATGTAGTATATTAGACGTCTGATGTCTAATGTGGTATGTCAGATGTCTGATGTAGTATATCACACGTCTGATGTCTGATGTGGTATGTTAGATATCAGATGTAGTATATTAGACGTCTGATCTCACATGTGGTATGTCAGACGTGTGATGTCTGATTTGGTATATGAGACATCTGATGTCTTATGTGGTATGTCAGACAACAGTGATGTCTGATGTGGTATATCAGACGTCTGATGTAAGATGTAGTTTTTCAGACGGTTGATGTCTATTTTGGCATGTCAGACGTCTGATAACAGAATCTGATGTAGTATATCAGACGTCTAATGCCTAATTTGGTATGTCAAATGTCTGATGTAGCATATCACACGTCTGATGTCTGATGTGGTAGTTAGACGTATGATGTCTGATGTGGTATAGCAGACATCTGATGTCAGATGTAGTATATCAGACGTCTGATGTCAAATGTGGTATGTCAGACGTCTGGTGTGTGATGTGGTATATCAGACATCTGATGTCAGATGTGGTATGTCAGACATCTGCTGTCTGATAAGGTATATCAGACATCTGATGTCAGATGTCTGATATACCATATCAGACGTCTGACATGCCACATTAGACATCAGACGTGTGATATACCCCATCAGTCATCACACATCTGATATACCACATTAGACATCAGCTTTCTGATTGCTTGAGCTACTACTAGGCTCTATGTTATAGCCTAGTAGTAGCGAAAAGCGTGCACTTTTTGGCGGCAAAAAAGGATTAAAGTCTAGGTTTAACTTGCTCAAATTTTTTTATTCTCGATATTTTTGACCAACTAGTTGGATTTTTCTAAAACAATTATTCCTCTCACCCTCATGAGCTCTGAGTATATTGCCCATTTAGGCTCAAGGAATAATATTGTTAAATATCAGACGTCTGCTGTCTAATGTGGTATATCGGACGTCTAATGTCTAATGGGTTATTCCAGAAAAAATCCTCACCCCCCTGACGGATGGGGTCCTTTTTTAACCCCCCCTCTCACCTGGATTTCCTGAAGCACAAGACCCCCCCTCCCAACTGGATTTCCAAGGTGGAAGACCCCCCCTCCCACCTGGATTTCGGGAAAAATAAAAGGCTTAAATTTAATTTATTTTTAATGGAAAATACACGCAAACACGTCTAAATGTTTTTGTTTTAATTTCTAAAGCTTCAGCTTATATTAAACTAAGAATTCTATCGCGTGGAACTAAAAGCGAAAGGAGCTAAAAACAAAAATGCGAACGACACCTGAGCAGTGTTTACATAATTTCTTAGCTTATAAAAATCACTCTTCGCTCTTGGGCGGGCTCTGGGTGCAGTAGAAATGTGTCAGGCGTTTGACGCTCTTCGTGACAACAACGTTGCGACGAGTTCCTTCAGGCCCGTTCTTTAGTATCTTGTTCGCGTTTTCTGCTATAAAAGGACCTGTAAAGCAACTTAGATTATCATTTATGTTAGGTGAGAAATATATGAACAAAACATTTTGACTATTTTCAGGGTCTGAAAGTGCTTAAGTGTCATTGAACTAAACGTTTGATTTGTATCAACTATCGGTCGAAATGACCCCTGCAGAAGACTTTTTTAAGGTCAACCCCCCCTCCCGCCTGGATTTCCGGAGTCTTCGACCCCCCCTCCCACGAGAATTTCCAGAATCCCATCCGTCGGGGGGGTGTGGATTTTTTCTGGAACAACCCAATGTAGTATATCACTCATCTGAAGTGTGATGTGGTATATCAGACGTCTGATCTCAGATGTAGTTTATCAGACGTTTGATGTCTAATGTAATATATATCAGACATCTGATTTCAGATGTCTAATGTCTTATGTGGCATGTCATACGTCTGATGTGGTATATCAGATGTTTGATGTCTAATGTGGTATGTCACATCTGATGTGGTATATCAGACGTCTGATGTCAGATGTAGTTTATCAGACGTCTTATGTCTAATGTGTTATATCAGACATGTGATGTCTGATGTGGTATATCAGACATCTGATGTCAGATGTAGTTTATCAGACGTCTGATGTCTGATGTCGTATGTCATGCATGTAATGTGGTATATCAGACATCTGATGTCGGATGTAGTTTGTCAGATGTCTCATGTCTAATGTGGTTTATCAGATGTCTGATGTCTGATGTAATACCATAAAATTCCGAAAATAAGCCCCTCCATGTATAAGCCCCCCAAACCGGTAACATATAAAACCCTCCGTTAAATCGCCCCTCCAAATATAAGCCCCCCGGGGGCTTGTACTTGGAAAATTGCCCTCAAATACAAAGTAAAACAAAGCAATAATGGTAAATTTACTTTCAACTATAAGCCTAGCCCAATCGATTTTGAAACGCAAATTTCCCTCCATAGATAAGCCCCTCCGAATATAAGCCCCTCCAAAAATAAGCCCCTCAAAACGGGCCTTTGAAAAATATAAGCCCCGGGGCTTATTTTCGGAATTTTACAGTATATCAGATGTCTGATGTCAGGTGTGGTTTTTTAGACGTCAGGTGTCTGATGTGGTATATCAGACGTCTGATGTCAGATGTAGTATGTCAGACAACTGATGTCTGACAAACCACATAACCACATATGTCTGATGTCTGGTTTGGTATATGAGGCCGTCTGATGTCAGATGTAGTGTATCAGACATCTTATGTCTAATGTGGTATGTCAGACGTCTGATGTCTAATGTAGTATATGAGACGTCTGATGTCAGATGTAGTTTTTCAGATGTTTGATGTTTATTTTGGTATGTCAGACGTCTGATGTCAGAATCTGATGTAGTATATCAGATGTCTAATGTCTAATTTGGTATGTCAGATGTCTGATGTAGTATATCACACGTCTGATGTCTGATGTGGTATATTAGATGTATGATGTCTGATGTCTGATATGGTATATCAGAAATCTGATGTCAGATGTGGTATGTCAGGCATCTGAGGTCTGATAAGGTATATCAGACATCTGATGTCAGATGTCTGATATACCACATTAGACATCAGACATCTCATATACCACATCAGTCATCAGACGTCTGATATACCACATTAGACAGCAGCTTTCTGATTGGTTGAGCTACTACTAGGCTCTATGTTATAGCCTATCAGTAGCAAAAAGCGTGCACTTTTTGGCGGGAAAAAAGGATTAAAGTCTAGGTTTAACAAGCTAAAATTTTTTTATTCTCGATATTTTTGACCAACTAGTTGGATTTTACTAAAACAGTTATTCCCCTTGCCCTTATGAGCTCTGAGTCAATAGCCCATGCGGGCTCGAGGAATAATATTGTTAAATATCAGACGTCTGCTGTCTGATGTGGTATATCAGATGTCTGATATCTAATGTAGTATATCACTCGTCTGATGTCTGATGTGGTATATCAGACGTCTGATCTCAGATGTAGTTTATCAGACATCTGATGTCTAATGTGGTATGTCAGACGTCTGACGTGGTCTATCAGATGTTTGATGTCAGATGTGGTATGTCAGACATCTGATGTCTGATGTGGTATATCAGACATCTGATGTCAGATGTCTGAAATGGTATGTCAGCTATCTGGTGTCTGAGATCTGATGTGGTATATCAGACGTCTGATGTGGTTGTCTGATGTAGTATTTTAGACATCTGATGTCTGATGAGGTATGTCAGACGTCTGATGTCTGATGTTCGATGTCTGATGTGGTATGTCAGACGTTTGATGTCCGATGTCTGATGTGGTATGTTTATTTGTTTTTCAGGTCTTTCTAACAAAATGAAGTCTGGAAATTTTGTTAAATTTCGATTTGTGCCACTTTTGGAGGTGGAAGAATTGAGGAACTAGCTCAAAGCCGAGGTACAATTTTAGTTGTTAAAAAATTAACTTAACAACAAAAAGAAGCCAGGATGGTCAGAATGGGTGCTAGAGGCCGGTCAGTAAAAGCCTAGCAATAGCGGTTACCAATCACACGTGACCAAAGGAACTTCATTGAAGGCAAAAAAAATTTGAGTTTGAAGTATGTTGAATATGACGATGTCAGCCAATCACATCACACTCATTTCACTGATGACGAATGACAAGAGGATTTGATCGACCAATCACAGATCTTGTCAACAATGCGGGAACCAATAATTACGATGTTAACAGACTGATCGAAACACACCACCTGGGAGGTCGCGCTCAAAAGGGGTACCTTTTTCAGGCTTCAGGTATATGAAGGGGTAGGGATTTCACTAGCTGAAGTATATAAAAGGGTAGTGAAATCTTTCTTTTGGGTCTGTAAAAGGGCCCAAATAACAGACGGATCTTATGGCTTCAAAAAGGTTCTATTTTTGTCATTGATTCCTATTTAAGACAGTGCATTTACCGCAGTTAAAAGGGATGCAAAGTTATAAACAAGGTATGCGAAAGGGGTACCATTTGTCAGTAGAGGGTTTATGAAAGGGGTACCCTTTTCTTGAAAAACGGTATATATATGGTAATGGGTTGGACGTCAGTTGGACCTTGAATTTTGACTTCTTTTTGAAGTGAAAGGGTTTAGTAAGGTAAAGGCGCACTTGAGCCAAAGGCTCAAATGGCGGGAGCTTATCCCGATTTTGTTAGCATGAAGCGTGTGTAGGAGTATTGCTACTTTCCCCTGGAGGGGATGCTAGTCCATTACAGGGTTACCCCCAGCCTTATGTTGCTGGTATCCTTTTATACACCTGGGTGGCTTAAACCCCAGTTTTCCAGATCTGGAGTTCGAGGTGTTAACTGCTTGGCCTCATGCCTCCCAAAAAGGGTTTAGTACTGAGTCTTTTTCTTTTCCTTGATTTCATTCAGTTGATGGCATAAAGGATCTGTTTGAAGTGCATTATGGTGATCAAGTGATGTTGGTTGTTGCTCTGATTGTAGACTGAATCAAGGAAGCTATGTAAATAAGACGTGAAGAGTTCACAGAAGTTCACTTCTTTTCAAGATCACAAGGAAGACTCAAAGGAAAAGGACTCAAAGCACAGGTAGCAGAAGTTTAGTTGTTGAAAATTTACTTTTAGCAACAAAAAAAATGTTAAAATGGGCGCAGGATTTGGTCAGTAAAAACTTTGTTACAGCAGCTACTAATTCCTAGACAATCCCAGTGTACTTTGTCTAAGGTAGAGAAACCTGCGTTTCAAGTAAGTACTGATATTACAGTGACAAAGAAGGATCGCAACCCATCACTCGCCTGGCAATTTTATCAACAGCCGATAATACTATGGCTTAACTTACAGGCAACCATTAAAATCATGACTAATTGACCCGTTAGGTGAATAAGTAGAGTTTTACTGACACCATGAATTTGAAAGATGACCACAAACTCACTTTGACTGACTTGATGGTTTTGGGAAATTTCGTTGAAACATAAGTCACTAATGACTACAGCTCTATTCTGGAGTACAACCACCTGGACAATCATTGTAACTCCAACTTCTTCAAACAGATCCTTTACGCCATCCACTGAGGATATGCTCTTCACTTGAACCCTGATGTCTGACTTCGGCATGTTACGATAACTTTCATACTATCAGTCCTATTCAAGACCAACTCACTGAATGATCCTTAAACGTCTTTAAGACGTGACTCTAGGGTTCAAACCATTTACTACCGGTATATTATAACATGTACTTGAATGATCGAAATAACAACTCATTGTACCAGTTATGAAAGCAACTCGAGAGAAATCCTACAGTACAACACTGAACTCTTGAATAATCCTGGTCTCGATCGAGCTTGACTTAGCTTTGGTCTAGCAGGATGCAATTGAACCCGGCTTGAATGATAAGGAAACCTAATTGCAATTTTTTCAAGACTTTGGTACAAAGTCCTCATTGAATGCTCTAAACACAGTTCTTTTCTCTCTTCAGAGGAATGTCAGAGATGAAAGTCAATGGAAAAGGGTGGAGGATGACAAACAACGGCGAAAAACACTCTTAACAGGATGATATTTTTTTGAACATGGTAAGTTAACTCTGTTTGCATTTTTTCAGGCAATGAACTGCCATGAATACACTGACACAATGATCATTTTGAGAGTTTCAATTAAATTAATTTTGATCTTTGTTGGAAAAGTCTCACAGTTATGGATTATTATACGTTTTTACCCCTCCACTAAGCTAACGTTTTGCCGTAAGTAAGAAGTAGGTAAGGTGAAGTAAGTGTTGATGCTGGCTTAGGGGAGAGGTAGGTGGGCAGTTTCCCAGAAACGTAAAATGATCCACATTTTTAGAACTCAGGTAGAAATCAAACAATAACAAGAACACTTGGTATGATCTCTTTATTACAGAAACCTGTGTGTTATGGACAGTTCTTTTGGTCTCAGATCCTCACTTCTGTTTTATGCACACCTGTGCGACTTGAACACCAGTCTCCTGTGAGACTTAGTGTCTATTTTAAAAAGGTTCGATGTCATTAATCAAATAATAACATGATTGGCTTTTTCAGATGCAAAAAATTAGAGTCCCCACTACTTTCATTGCCATTTTTGAACGTTTGCTTCAATAATTGATACCCTAGAAAATCGTGCAAATCTTTCACTCCCAGGGTACATGATGGAGTTTTTGCAATGTGGTTCTTACTTTAGAGTCTGCGGACGAAATCCCATGTTGTGATAATTCAAATGAAACCTCTTGGTTATTAGATGTGTGTTTCAGGGTTTTTTTTTAAGCGAAGTCTGGAAATTTTGTTAAATCATGATTTGTGCCACTTTAGAGGTGGAAGGGTTAAGTACTTAGTCATTCTCATTTTTTGGCAGAAAGATGAGCAATGTAAATGCTTTGATGTAGACTGGATCAAGGAAGTCATGGGAAGGAGATCATGGATTGCAAAGGAAACCAAGGGAAATCACTTCGGATCAAGATCACAAGGAAGACTTGGAGGAACCAGCTCAAAGCATAGGTAGTGAATTTAGTTGTTAAAAAATTACCTTTAAAACAAAAAAAGAAGCTAAGATGGTCTGAATGGGTACTAGTGGTCGGTCAGTAAAAGCTTAGCAATAGTGGTTACCAATCACACTCGACGAAATGAACTTCATTGAAGACGAAAAAATTGAGTTTGAAGTATGTTGAATATGAGAATTTGTCAGCTGATCATATCGCACCCACTTCACTGATGACCAATGACGAGACAATGTTAGCAACAGACCTATTCAGGGCTAGAATCAGTCAGTCACCAACGGGTACAATCATATTTCATTCAGAAAAGATCCTTTTTAAAATCAACTGACTGCACGCTATTCACTTTGAGTCCGCCTGACGTCTCCCGCAGTCTGACAAAACATCACTGTCAACAATAGTCCTTTCCAGAACTACAATTGTGCTGGTGATCATATTCCAACTACTTCAAACAGGTCCTTTTTATCGTCAACTGAAGATAAGCTATTCACGTTGACTCCGATGTCTGACTTCTACTCATTTGTTGTTGTTGTTCTATCAGTTTTATTGAAGACTACCTAACTGAACAATCATTGAAGGTCTCTATGCCTTCTCTTTTGGTTTGAATTCTTTTACTGTTATTATGGTTACTCCCAAGACGGAGCAAACAACCGGGTAACGTAACTACGTGTATAACAGTTAACAAATGAAACTAAAACGACTGAACTGTTATTATCTCGGTCTCCATTCATCCGAACTTGGACGTTAGAATATGTCAATCACAAGAGAGGTCATAACGTTCCTAATTATTAGGTAGAGTGAAGCCATCTGCAGACGACCGATTGACTATCGTCATAGGAGACTCAACAGCTAACAATAACAAATGGCAAAGACGACTCGGCAACACTGAACTGCAATGATCTTAGTCTCGATCCGGCCGGACTTGGACTTAAGTCTGCGTCAATCACAAGAGAAGTCATTCAGTTCTTAGTAATCAAGTCAATTGAAGCCATCTGCAGACGATAACCCAAGCTCCTACTGAATACCGTCATACCAGACTTGAAATTACAAGAGCAAGTGACCACAGGGACTCGGCAAGCTCAAATAGTTATTTCGTACTACCTTACTTCACGCAATACTGACGTTTACAGTCCCATACGCGCTAGTGAGACAGCTGAACAATTTCGAACTGAAACTTTCTGAAGATGACACGACTGCAACACCCCCACACAGAAACGCTAAAAGGCTCTAAATGACTAGGAATATTTCTTCCTATTCCTTAGACGAAAAGAGACTGAACTCTACTGAACCCTATTCTATCTTACTCTTACGGATTGAAGCACTCAGACACACCCAGCCGGTCCTATACGAGTTCCGACCGAAGCTATTGTGCTTAGGGTTGAAACCAAGGGTTCAGTCTTGTCTAAACAAGTTGTCATATTGGACAAAGGAAAGCGTCATGAGTGCACAAGAATCTACTTTACTACAGGACGGGAAGTTATCAAAGGCAAACAAGTAGTTCTGCATATACCTCTGAGACGGCGAGAGCAGACAAAGAGTGCTGATCATTACGGAACGGCGCCTGTAGATCCGTGTCGCCCGCAAAATCGACAAACAAACAAACGATGAAAAATGTTATCGAGAACCGACCAATACTCTGAAGAGATTTGATGCAAGCTTCCACGTTTCAACAACCTCAGGTCAGCGTAGTGTTACGCAGCCATCCACCACATTTTATGGACTATCATAGAAAGACAACCTTCCTCCCATAGAAATGCGGCCTACAGTTTCATTCAATTGGTATCCAAATTGTTTCTTGTCACTGCAATGTTCTGAAGTTAAATACTGTTTTAACAGGGCCCGCTCTACATTTCATCGTAGTTCAAAGCATCGAGGAACAAGCATTTGATAACAATTAACTCTCTGCTTCGTACGCTGCGTTGACAACATTTCCTCCACTGTACAGAAAGACGAGATGGACGTTGAAAGCCAAACATCGTATTTGAATAGATCGTGCACAAAAGTGTGTAGTAAAATACCTTTCTTGGACCCGGAACGACTCCAAACTATGTCTTGCTAAAATTACTCGACCCCACTCGTGCCGGCAATCACTCCATCTGACTACTGCCGAAGATTACCCGACTCTACTCGCGCCTGTGATTGTTCCATCCAAATGTTACCGAAAATGACTCCACCTGATCGTACGGACAATTACTTCATCTTACTGCTACCGAAAATGACTCCAACTGAGGCCTAGCCACCGACTACCTTATCTCTCATCTTCAACACGGAAGTATAATAATCATAAAGGAATGACTACGCGAGCTTTGAAGAGATTAATACAACCACAATGCAAGCACAAACCGGCATCAAGGAATTGCCATGCCAAGAATCAGTCATTGCTGAATAGTCAATACCATTTACAATGAACAATCACACTGACTGGGACCCTGCTCAGAGTATTGCGTATTCTATATACAGATGGCTTCCATCGACTTTGTTACCAGAACTAAGCTGGATTACAAACAAACAGACGAATTATGGTCTACTGGAAGCTTAATGGATGCTATCAAGTTGTCACAGATATCTGATAACTACAGTTGTACGAGCCAGTGTCTTTGAAGGTGAAACACTTTCCATCCCTTCCCTGGTGTATTAATCGGCCTCAGGTTGAAAACAAAATTTCAAACTCCACTCTTAAGTTTCACCTTTTACAGTCTGCATTATGGAGCGCCTTCCCTTGCCTCAGCACTTCTTTGTGTTTATAGAAGAGTTCAGAGACGCCACAATCGTCCACATCTACAAGTGCAAAGGAAACCAGCATTCCTGCAACAATCATGGTGTAATCTCCTTTCTCTCTACTGCTGGGTAGGTCTTAGCCCGCGTGCTGCTCAACAGCCTCCTCCACCATCTGGAGCAAGGTCTCCTCCTTAGGGGTTTCTTTCCACTGACGCATTTTTGGCTCTGCACGTTAACGCACGTAAATGTTAATCACGTAGATAAAATAGAGGCAAGATAAAAAGTGCTGAGTTTAAACGAGAAGTTGAACAAGGTTCAACTTCTACGCTTACAAGTGACCTTTCATGCATTGCCTCTGTATTTGCGAACATAAATTTTACGCACGTATGCACGTAAAAGTTATGTGACACTGGAAATCAACCCGTGCGTTTCCATGCAGGTCAAGGAACAGTCGACATGATAGTTGCCACCTGCAAGCTGCAAGGAAAGTTTTTGGAACAGCACCGCGACCTCTACACCACCTTTGTGGATCTCCCTAAGGCATTCGACACAGTCAGCAGAGACGGATTGTGCAAAACCATGAGCAAGTTTGGCTGCCACACAAATTCATCACTCTCCTTCGCCAGTTCCTGGAGGGCATGCAAGCCCAAGTCCTTGATGATGATGAACTGTCAGATTCTTTCCCAGTCTCCAACGGCGCAAGCAAGGCTGTGTCCTTGCCCCTACATTTTTAAGCTTGATGTCCTCTGCTATGCTGAAAGGTGCTTTTAGAGATCGCGACGCTGGTAAAAGGATCAATCACAGGTCAGGTCATCGCTTGCCAAAGGCAAGCAATTCAAAGACAGCCTCAAGGTCTCTCCGATAGATTTCTCAATAGACAGTCAGACCTAGGAGAACCTTCCTGCCGACCGTCCAATCTGGCGCAACCGCATTCGTAGCGGAGCCCATGCAGCCAAAGATAACAGAACTGATGCCGCAGAAAAGAAACACGAGATGTGCAAGGCCAGAGCTGCAATCAACCAGCAAACCAGAAGGATCCATACCCCGATTGGCCCCACCAGCCACCTTCGGACACACCAACTCCAGGAACAGCTGGGGATGTCATGGTCTTCTTCGACTCCGAAGGAGGAACAACATAACGCATATCTTACAACCCTACAAGGTCAACCTTTCCTAGGCCCGGAAGTAGCTATGACAAAGGAGCAACTATACTCACCGCTTTGATCAGACATTCACAGCTACTTTGACACTTCTTAATGCCTTAGAGACAAAAAGTTTTTTTAACACAACGTTTGTTTTTTTAAAGCAAATCACAAATCAGTGGATTTGCGAGACAAAATGTTTAGAGGAACGCTAGACCTCACGCTACAGACATTTACTGTTGAACTGTTACGTGGACAGCAACTCTACTCGTAGAACCCTACAACAGGGCTGTTACTCACAAACTGATCACAACGCTAGGAGGGTCGACCACCATAAAAGATCGAGAGCAAAGTAAAAATCAAATACTATCAAATACTGCGGGTTCCAGGCTGATTACATTGGAGAGACTCTTGATTGACACTCTCCGGACTGACTGAACGTCAACAATCAGTTTGTTAAACACCATTCGGTGACCAAGCATCAGGCTGACTGGAACACTGTTTAGAGTGTTACGTTTTCTACAGAGTGCTGCTAGCGAAGAACTCATCTTTGAAGGCTGCTTTACGAACTCAAACAATCGCCACTTTGCCAGAAATATACACAGAAATAGAAGGATATGACACCAGTTAACGATTGTGTCTAACAACACAATGATGTAAGTAGCAGATGTATTTTAAATCACTATTCAGGTGTAGAATCTTTGCTGCCAAAAATACCGCGGCGAAACTTATTTAGACCAATAAACAACTACAAGACTAAGCTGAACACACTGCCTTCTATTGCTTAGCAAGTGACTACAGTGACTACAGTGATTACACTGACTGCAGCGATGGGCATCCCCCTTTGTAGGACCTAAAAGTTTATGTAGATGTAGACTACACTGCCTTATATTGCTCAACTACTGACTATACGACTGCACTGGCCACATTGACTACATTTACCACCCCAACTTCACTGCCGGACTACATCTATTTCACTGACTACCCTAACTGTACACAACTACATGACTACTCCGACTACAGCGACTACATTGTCATCTTTTATCCACAAATTACATTGCATATAATTTTCAAACTTTAATGGAACATCAGTCTAATTCAGTAAATTTTGATGCCTTCTTATGGCCTCTCTGTATTTCCAACTTGTTCTTCTGTGGTTTACCAAGCGATTATTCTTATAACTTAGTATGTCACCCTTAATGGAATCACAGATCTTTAACTATGTACTTGTTGCATGTTCAGATAATACTCTTTATTAATCAAGTGATTACTTAAAAATGTGTACCAGTGATATCGGAGAGAAATATTGTAGAAAATACAGGTCCCTCTCATTTTGTTTTATTTTTTTATGTGAAAGATAACTCATGAATACAACTGCTTAAACAATTGTTTATTCTTTTTTTCTGATTTCGATGCAGAGATCGTACAATGAAACAAGGGAGGGGCCACGCAGCGAGGATCAAGGAACACAGAGGGAGATCAAAGAGCTTCAATGCAGATCAAAGTAAAGGTAGCAGATATTTAAACTTTGTTTTTCGAAAAAAGTAGGGCAAGTATACTGAAGAAGGTCTGAATGGATGCGTGAATGATTCTCTCAGTGAAAGCTTATTACTGTTGTCAATCTTGTGCGACCTGCACTTCATTTGAGACCGAAGAAAGCTAAATTTAGTGGATGTCAATCAAAGAAAAGCAGTTGCAGTTTTTTGACAAATTCTGACATGATGTTTCAAGGCAAAGAAGCTAAAAAAATGATCGACTCATTTAATTGCCCGAAGAAGTTTGGAGATGATCAAAAATGTTTTGAAAATAGTATTTCGTAATTATTCAAACAAAAAAAAGAAAAATCGTCGGTACAAGCAAACAGACAAGATCACAGCCAATAAAATTATCGGTAATGTCACTTCTAAGGGAAAGCCCGATAAAACGTGATCAGATTCAAAAGTAAATTGCCTTTCAAGACCTTGCTGATCTGTATGCAAATTCTATTAAATGTGGCTACACATAAGCCAAATTCTAATCGTGAGTTTTGAATTCTTATCTCAAAAACAGTCCTCTTATAGAAAAGGGCTCTTGACAATTTATGGTGAAAATTTTTATGAGCGAATCAGCAACAGTCGAAAAATAAATAGAATTTTGATGGCTTTGTTTTGATTGACAAACAAACACTAGTTTAAGATGATAAATATGCAATGTTCGCCACAATATTGGAAACGGCGTAAGCAATTGCTCAGGAAATCAGCCGATGCAATATTAATTTTCAGTTTTTAAAAAAGATCATCGCCATTGCTGAATTTGAGTTTCTGCCCAGACAGACGAACATTCAATACTGCAGAAAATAGCGCCAAAGATCGGGAAACTTGTTAGATTTGATCGTATGAATTTTTTACCAGGGAAGATATAGCGTGGTTAATTTGATTGTGTTTGTATTGTGGTAGGAAGCAAATTGCTTTCGAGTGTGCAAGCTATTTCTATTGCCATACAAACAAAATTAACCGAGCTATTTGGCTCTCTACGAGCTTTTATGTGTTCAAATTTCACAACGGTTCCTAGTTTTAGGCGCTCTGTTCTGCAGCATTGTTTGTTTTTCTGTTTTTACTCTCGCTGCAAATGTTTAAACGTACAAATTTCAATTCTCCATTCAGACCTTCTTTATTTTTTTTCAAGAAGCGGCTAAGATTTCAAATTCAGGAACAAGCTTTCATTATTTTTGCTGAAAGACGTCTCCTCGGTAAGTTTGTGCTGCGCAATTTCCTTCTAAAAAATCTTAGTGTTGCTTAGATAAACTTTTATGTTAATTTCTTGTCTTCACGAAAATATGATTGGAATGTGGCTCCAAAAGACTTAGAAAAATACGGCGCGCCCACGGCGCATGCGTCGTATTTTTTAAAAAAAAATTAAAGTTCATTTACTTCAACTACTACTATTAAGAAAAATAAACAATATCTTTTCAAGTTGTTTTCATCTTTTTATTTCTTTCACTAATAAATGTCATAAATACTTTGTTGTTCGCTCTAAGTTTTTTCTTGTGGTAATTATTTCTATTTCTAATACAATAAAGCAATCAACGCTTTGTCTACTTGAGTAATGTTTTATTTCTCATTAAAAAGGTGTCAAGAAAAATTTTTCAAAAATATACTAAGTCTTTTGGCGGGAAAATCTGTGCAAATTTGCACAGCGTTTACCCTGACAACATTTTCGAGACAAAAAATTGGCAAGACATGCCTTTAAAAAATTCTCAGCTAAGACTTTAATACAACTTTTCGTGCACAAGTTTAAGACTAAGTAAAACGAGCAATATTTTCCTGTAACTTGTCTCGCACAAGGCTACCTTGCAAGACAAGATGCAGTTTGTTGCGCATATTACCTTCTACCCGCTCAGCAAATTTTCACGCTGCAAAGAGTAGAAGTCTCTTCTATCCTTTGCAACACGAAAATTAGTTGAACGAGTAGATAGTAAAACTGTGTGCTTTGACATCTACTTGTTCAATTAATTTTTGTGTTGCGAAGGATAGAAGAGACTTCTACTCTTTGCAGCGTGAAAATTTGCTGAGCGGGTAAAAGGTAATATGCGCAACAAACTGCAGCTTGTCTTGCAACGTAGCCTTGTGCGCGACAAGTTACAGGAAAATATTGCTCGTATTACTTGGCCTTAACAGTTAAAAGCAAAAATGGCAGGCTATAAACAGTTCAGTTTGAAAGACAAAACCTGTGAATCTACATAAAAGTTTTAAAGCCAAACGAAATATTTCCGAAAAAAAAAACATTTTTTTTGACTTGCGACAATACATCGCTTTTTGGAAAGTTTCCCTCCCTTTGCAATTCTATTTATATTTTTAAACATGTTTATAGCTTGCCAGGTTGCCTCTTACACCACCTCGTGCAAGAAATTTTTAGCGAAAATTTCCACAAAACGTTTCTTGCCAAATGTTAGAAGTCATGTTTAGCCTCATTTCTGGCTCAAACCAAACAGAATTTCCTTGAAAATTTACTTTTCAGAGTCTTATCATGTGTCCAATTGACATCTGGTTTTATTCTTGCACAAGCTGGTGTTACATTCAATACTAAGACTTATTTCAGCGGATACAATTCGTATTTATAGCACAGGGAAGAGACAGGAGTAAACTTTAAGATGCGAAACTTTAATTCCCCTTTTATATTTTTTCGGTAAGAATTTCCTTTTCTTTGCTTTTCACCCAAGTTTTTCTATATTTTAAAACCGCAAACCGTCCCCGCCATCATTGAAAAAAAATAATTGTCACCTCCCCATTCTTCAATATTTATTCCTGTGCTACGCAAATTGTTCACTGAAATAAGTCTTTTATGAAAGTAATAATAACAATAGCTTAGTATAAAACCCATTGTCTGGTTCCAAATGAAAATAAATTTGCTTGCACTGCTCAATCAAAATGAGTTGAATGAAACTTAGTCCACAGAATCAAATTAACCGTGAAAGATTACTTTTTAAGGGTCAGACCACAAGCTGTCAGTAAAACAAATCCATTGAAAAGCTGCATTACTCTCTTCCATCAATACCCGAAACAACCTAATAGTAACGCAATTTAATTCCACGTAGACTCAAATTGCCAAAATATTTCAGTTATTCAAATGAAGAGTCTTGCAATTGAATGCTTGGAGACGTCAAATACATAAAGTTATGTAGGCGTAACTTAATTTTATGTAGAGTAAAATTGCCAAAAGTTATTGAATAGCCTTACGATTTTTTTTCTTTGGTGAAAATACTCTTGTGATAAAGTTAAGGAAAATTTGTTCCCTTTTTATCTCAAATACTTTTCACTAAGTGCTCCAGTTGTTAGCCAAGCATGAAATCATTAATATGTACTCTCTAAATTAATTCAGATAATACTTCTATTCTGTTTGAAATCTATTATTTGCTTTCGCGGCCAAGATACACGCTTTCAGGTCACATACAGAATGAATAGATTTTGTAAAAGGATTTCTTTTCATATGCAATATACTAATAGAAAGGTAGCGTCACGAAGTTCTAGGGAGATCACAATGAGCAAGTAAAGTGCTCCAAATTTAGTTGTCATTTAAAGTTGTATTTTTTTAAAGCCTTAAAATTTTGAAAACCTTTCGTCATTCAACTCAACTTTCTTGAAGTCCTGAATTTTCTCAATAATTTCAAGAGTGATGTCTCGGTACATATAGGAATTTACTTGTGTAGAAATCTCTAAACAAAGCTCTCCAATTTCTGTTACCTCTGCATCGACTAAGTGAAATTGTTTTAAGACCTAGTAAGGAAACTGAAAAACAGCACCATCTTTGTGAACGAGTGTACTCTTCAGTAGGAAAATATCTTGCCAAGTAATTACTGAGAACATGAGTGAACCTTGTTGCTATTTACACCAACCTTGGTTGGAAAATGTATCACAAGAGCCCAAAGATTCAGTTTTGATTTCTTGAATTTTGGCAAGTGAGATGAGAATTTCTATTACTCAGTTTGAAATGACAGAAAAGAGAAAAATATATTAACATCAGTGAGTTGATTGCAATGTGATAATTTTTTGTTTGGTCATTAACGTTATTA